AACAAGCAGTCTCAGGGCCCTGAGGTGGGGAGGCTGCCACCCCCGGGGTGGGGCTGGCAGCAGGGGGTAAGAGGACCTGGGTGCACCCTAGTCCACAGCGTCCCAGCCCAGGGCCCTAACAATGGGGATCCCACTGAAGCACGCTGACCTATACTCTGGTAACACAACCAGAATAATGTCTAGTATCCCTGGGCTACTTCCTGTGACCTCATCTGAGTGTGTCTCCAGCTCCCTGGGGTACACTGCCATTGTCAGTCCCAGTAGCTCCTCCGAATACTGGTTGGTCAGCAGTCCTGGCACCTCCTTTGGGTCCTCGGCACAGCAGAGCTCCGTCTTGGGTTGAGGCCTTGTCCCGCTCCTCTGCTTTTGGCAAGGGCGTGGCTTGCCTGGCTCCGCCCACCAAGGGGTGGAGCTAGATTTCTCCTCTCAGTCTTGGAGGGAGGCCATGCCCCCCCACTACACATACACATAGACTTTAAGGCCATAAGGGACCATCATGATCATCTGGTCTGACCTGCTGCACATTGCAGACCCCAGAACCTCAGCCACCAACTCCTGATAATAAATATACTAATTCTGCTCTTGCAAAGTGAGGTTATTTCACCTACCTCCGAGAATGGACTGTACACAACAAATTAACATGCCACTCTGAATACTCTAGGCCAGTAATATACCTACGAGACCAATATTAGGAGCTATTATGTGGTTTACTTTTTAACATGATTTCTCCTAAATTGTTTCCATAATTACTTTTGACTTGGTTTGGAGGGGAAAATTTATTAATCAAAATAAAGGTGTAAGGGCCTTAAATGAGCAAATATACTCTCATGTGAAATCTTCCCTCTGCTATGCCCATAGCCACAACTGCTATTATTTTAGTGGTCGTGCAGTTTTCCGGGGAAAGAGTTCAAACGTCTGAAAAATAGGTTCTTCGGGAACGCCCATAGAGGGCCCAAGCCACAGTCTGTTAAAGTGAATGAAAATGCCCCCTCTCTCCCCCCTCCTCTGGACTTCAGTGTGTTTTGGATCAGGCTTCAAGTATGTGACAAGATGATCTGTAGGTGCTGTTGAAAGGATACATGAAGTCATACCATTCCGACCACTCAGTCTTCTCCGTTTTCCACAGTAATTTATGAATTCACTTTGAATTCTTTTTGTAGAAGTCTTTTGAAAGCCGTATAAATTAAAAAGGAAAAAAGTGGAAGGGAAGGAGAGTTTGTTGTGAAAGAAAAGCAATGGTGTGAAACCAAGGAGCAGATGGAAGTATATCTACTGTGGGAGTTCTCTTTGGCGTTACCATATGGGAGTGTACCCAGATAGCTGGTACTTTAATAGAGAGCCACGCAGACATCAGCTGTGACAGGTGATCATCTTTCTATAAATGCAAAGAGGTTTATGAACTTCACAGGGTTCCATCTGTAGGTGCTTTTCGTATTAGGCATTCAGAATGCAGTCTCAACGCCCCCAGCAAACGGCCTATTTAATTGTTCAAAAATGTCCACCTTAATTTTTTGTTTCAACTCCTACATATCTAAAATATTTCACAGCTATTTTCCATACATCATATTTATAAATATGTGAAGCAAACATTTTTTATATTGGTAGTTATTAAATGTGTGCAACATGTAAATATGGGTGGCATGAAATGCAAAAATGAAATGGATTTGAGTCTGAACCATTTGCTTTTCATTAGGTTATGCAACTCTAATAGAAACAGTAACATATGTGTTTACATTGCTGTGGACATGTGAAGCCAGACGCTGAAAACATTCCTCTAAGGTTGTATAAACTCCAGCAACTAAATATTTTGGGAGCTGTTTTCTAACGCCAGCTTAATAGTTTAAAAGTATAACCCGGATTCCAGATATTAAAAATGCCTTGAGAGGTATGCACATCACTGCAACAGATGAAACTAACTAAACCTCTAAAGTATGCAATACGCTTCTATTTTGCAATATCTTCTCTGTTACTTTTTTTTTAATGTCAGGAGATTAAATTCAAGCTTTTAGCTATGTAGTGGTACAGATGGAATTTTTCTGCATATATGAACGGGCTGACTCAAACTTTTCAAAACAAATCTGTTTATGATGGAATAGTTTGGTTATTTTAGAAACAGTAAATGGGAAAGATCAGCAGGAGGAAACCAATAACCCAAAATGTGCCCGTTTCCTTCCACCCTGACTAACGGGACAGGATCAAGAATTTCCAAGCATGTGTTTGATAGTAATCTTAGTCTTACATTCATTAGAGACATTTGATTTTACTCAGTGTTTTTAGCTGTGGAACATATCCTGATTAGCTAAGGCCAGAGCTTAATTTGCACCAGGGCTTGTCGGGAACAAGCCCCAGCACCTCTGGGCTTGGCAGTTCAGTCCCAGCTCCTCTGCGTTTGCTACATCAGTTATGAATCTAAAAAAATTGCTTGAGCCCCGGCACTTCTTTCATTACAAATTAAGCACTGGTTAAGGCTTTACACAAAGATATCTAGGCAATTTTACTGCTTGAAGAGACTTTCAGTTACTTTGGATGAATTAAAAGTTCTTTTGCTGCATTATTTCTACCATATATGTCAGGTTCTGTCTTGGCCAGTCACTTTTACAAAACATGCTCTCTTGATGGGATTTAGCACAAGGCTGCGTGCCTCTGAAAATCTCACCCTTACGTGCTAGGATCTGCCATTTAACCAGGCTAGAGTCATTGCGGTTTTCTAGTATCCCAGGATAGCCAAAACCCTCTCTCTGGACAAGTGAAATTATACAGTGCCAAAAGTTTCTCACTGGCCCTTAACAATCCTGGGTGCATTGAGTGACCAGAACAGCCAGCCTAAAGCTCCAGCCCCCTTTTCCTTGCAACCTCTACCAAATAGCCAAAGAGCTGGCTGATTTGCCCATCCGGCCTGCCGGTTTGCTGCGTTCCTTCTCTGGCTCATGTCACCTGTACTGCACGTCGGGAGCAGTGCACACCACTAACTTTGCATGGCTCTGATATAAGAGCCTGACCCTAGGGTAGAGGTGGGCAAACTACAGCCCGCGGGACCCTCCTGCCCAGCCCCTGAGCTCCTGCCCGGGAGGCTCGCCCACA